GAAAAGTTTCTAGACAGTAGGGACTATTTTCTTCTAATGTAACCTTCCACCAAACTGGAGGGAAAAGTTACCCGAGGCCGGAGGAGGGCCGGGCGCTGGGGGGACCCGGGGGAGCCGCGCTCGGGAAAGAGGGGTCTCTTCCATGAAAATGGTTAATCGGGTCCCCCCCAAACCCGAGTTTCTTGTTGTTGGGGCGTGATTGGAAAAGATGCACGGCGATGCTAAATATTTTAAGATGGAGATTTTAAAAAATTAATAGAAAAGGTTGCAGTAAGAAAATGGTTCTCGTCCTGCGAAATGGCTCGTCTATTGATTCTCGCGGTATCTGTCCCTCCTCCCGGGCTCCCCGGCTCCCCGGCTCCCCTGCTCCCCGAGCCTGGGCTCAGACTCCGCGGAAACAGGGCCCCGGGAGTCACTCCTTAAATCCCGGAGACGAAAGTCAAACGTAGGAAGTAGCCTTTTGGGTAGTTGGCTGAATTCTGTCCCTATTTAGAAGAGGTACGCTAGCCTCAGAAATATTTAATAATTAGGAAAACCCACTGGACCTGCATTTTTCAAATTATGAGTGGCAAAATCAGCTTGACAAGGAGTGGGAGGGAGGGAGGAAGAAATGAAGGGAGCTGGAGTAAAAGGATAGAAAAATATTACATGGTAAAAAATATTCTTTCATGAATAGTCTCTCTTGAGTATTCTCTGTGTGTCAGGAGAGAGTACTATGTGTGTTTGCATGTACCAAGTTGAGAAGTAGAATATCTTCCTTACTGTGGTTGCTGTAAAAAAAATGTTTGAAAACCACTACACTAGACATTGGAATTATTTTAAGATGCTTGATTGGGAAGGTTTGAAAAGTCATCTAATTTATTCCTCTATACTCTAGACTTCATCTTTCTTGCTTATCAGGTTCCCATCTCAACATCTGCTAGTAATGATTTGTGAATAATTTATCTCTTTTAAGCTATTATTTCAGTAAAGAAAGCTATAGCTTGGAGTATGACGGCAAATCTGCCCAACTCCCCTTTTTTCAATGGCTCTTCTACCCCGTGTCCCTGGGGCCATGAACATATTCCAAATATGTTCCAACCTGCTGTCTCCAGTGGGTTGCTGAAATATCATGTAATCAAGTATTCCCTTGGATCTGTTTTCTTTACTGAAATAATAGCTTTGAAGAGATAAATTATTCACAGATCATTACTAGCAGATGTTGAGATGGGAAGATGATAAGCAAGAAAGATAAAGTGTAGAGTATAGAGGAATAAATTAGATTAACAATGCAGAGGTTAGGAGCACCGACCCCCTGCAGTGGAAAACTCATGCTTGCCTTTTGACGTCCCTGTCGTCCTTCAGGACCCTGGGAGATTGGTTCCAGGAATCCTGTGGATACCAAAATCTGCATATGCTAAAGTCCCTTTTATAAAATGGCATAGATGAATGCATACAGTTAAAACCCTAACCTCAAAAATACTGTTTTGGATCCGTAGTTGGTTGATTCTACCAATGAGAAACCTTTAAATACCAAGGGCCAACTGTACATTTCTTTTTTTATATATGTTTTTATTTCATTCAGAGAGAGGGAGGGAGAGGGAGAGAAACATCAATGATGAGTCATTGATCTGCTGCCTCCTGCACCCCCCCTGTTGGGGATCGAAGCGTGACCTCCTGGTTCCTAGGTCGATGCTGAACCACTGAGCCACATCGGCTGGGCTCGCTATTTCACTTTTTAAATTAGCATATATTTCAAAGTTTTTTTTAATGCACAATTGAATTTGACTTTGTCCCTTCTCTGTCAGCAGTCAGGGAAGCTCTCTTTCATGCTAACCAGGGCTGCAGTCTGCGACTGAATTTTCTACCTGTGTTCTCCCTGTGCTACCGTTACCCACACTCACTTCATTCTTTCGATTTTTATTAGTTCAGCATCCAGATCAGATGGGGAAATATTCCTCCAGCAAGCTGGTCAGCCAGACATTCAGCCACTGTGGCCCTCACTGACAGCACCTGGGGAAAGCCAGACCTCAAGGCCCCCTGCCTGACTAAAGTTTGCTTGTGCTTTTACCTGATGTGCTATGCCAGAGGTGCATACAGAATGTCCTGTGCCTACTCACAAGGGCCCAAATGGAAATAGGTCCCCACTATTCCCTCCAGTTATCTGATGCCCCTGGTCACCTCTAGACAGAAGCCTGGAGAGGAGAAATCAGGACACACATCTGACAGTTCTCCCTTCCCCCTTTTCTCTCTCCCTCTTCTTCCTATTATCCCCAGGACTGCAGAGTGAACCATGCCCACCACCTCCCCGGGGTCAAGGTCAAATGGGCCTTCTAGACAAACCCAAACCGTAAAAGGATCTGTAGAGCCAGAAAGCTGATGGGAGTTTGAGGGAGAGCCAAGTGTCCTGAACAACCTAAGGGAGGCCGGCTCACAAGTTATATCCACACGGTCTTGAACCACAAACTTCAGCTGCAAACACCAGCAGGGCAAGCCATGGCCAAGTAGGTGGAGAAACACACTGCCCCAAAAGCCAGAGGTATCAAAGAATCCTGCACTTGGGAGGGCTCTGGACTCTCTCCCTTGCCACATGGTTGCATAAATCATGCTCATCTCCTGATATACTTGGAGAAAAGCTGGGAAAAAGAGTGAAAATCTGAGCATGCTGAGAAAACCAAGCATTACTTTCCTAAAGAGAATGAGTGTTACTTGAAGGGAATGTTTAAATTATTTGATGAGACTTAACTTTTTTTTTTTTTTTTTTGCTTTTCTTCAAATCATTTTTAAAAGATGATTTTGAAATATTTAAGAACTACAAAAATAAGGAGTAATATAAGGAACCTATGTACCTCCCTCTCAATGTAAAAAATAAAACCTTACCAATACAGTTGAAACTTTCAGGGTATCAATCCACAAATGCCACTTTTATTAGGTTGAATACAAAATTGCCAATATTAGATTTTTTTTATATGACTGAACCTAATATTTTACTTTGATCAGTCCCTTCATCATTCTGTTGCCCACTTGGGGTGCCTTCCTTCCTCTCCCCCATTTTTCCACATCCCACCCATGCTTCAAGACAAGATCTGAACCCCACTCCTTTCTAGAAGTTTTCACTGAAGACTTGACCCTGCATAGAGCTTTCCTTTCTCTTTCCAGAATGTGCTATCTCACACAGTTAGCATCATTCTATATATCATATTCTTTCATTGTCTGGATCACTGAAATTGGCACTTGGCAATATTATGTTACCTATTATTTTGTTAATTAACATGTAGAAGAAATAATAGGCTTTTACTAAGTATTTGTCTCATTAAATAAAATAAACTACCTATTTATTGGAAGTTATTACTTCCAGCAATTTTATGATGTTTAAATCCAAGACTCAAACTGTTTAGAAGAGATGTGCTAAGGTGAGAATCAGATTTGGGAGCCTGTCATCCATGATTATACTCAAATTTTATCATGTCCCACAAAATACTTACATTATGGTACAAGATATCTTAAGAACAAATAATAAAAGCCGCCATTATGGAGTAACTGATATAAGTCAGGTACCATCCTATGCATTTTATATATTATATCTCTAATACAATAACCCTGCAATGTAGGTAATACAGAGCTTTATCCAGTTAACTATACTGAATCCCATTCTTAGCCATAAAAGTGTTCTCCAGTAATTTCTTCTTCTTAATCCAATCTTTATACCAACGGATTAGCTTAGTTAGGCTGTGCTGAATTAACATAGTAATCCTGCAACTTCAGGGGCTTAGCATATTCAGGGGCTATCAATTCAACTAACCAAGTTAGACCATCTGATTGTCTTTCTGGTTTTAGAGGTTCTTGGGCTTTCCCAGGTATCAAAGAACACCTTTGGGCAAAAATAAAGGAAGACATTTCATAATAGTAACAATAATAACAATTAGTACTTTAGTAATAATAATGGTAAGAATAAATAATAGCAATACTAATAATAACAATTAGTACTTTAATCATAATAATAATTATAAGCCACTTGTTAAAGTGAGAGAAATCTCTAGTTTTTGGGGGATACATGTTTGGATGATTATTGCGAGAAGTATCATTTCTCTGGGAAGACAGGGAGTGACGCACCTTGTCCAAAGAGCCCAGGGCCTGAGGCTTTTTCTCTCAGGTTCATGCACAGGCACACCAATGGGCTTCAAGCCTGGATGTGTTGGCAAAATTTTGTATATATATACAAATGTGCATTTTTCTAGGGGAGATAATCCATAGCTTCCATAGAGATTTTCAAGGTGTTTGCAATGCAGAAAAATTTAAGATTCACTTTTCCAGGATAGAACTAAAATCTCTGAATAGGAGAAACAGAGACCAGAGGCTGCCAGGAAGCAGGGTCTGTAGGAAAAGGGGAAACTCATACTCAAACCTGCTCACAGTACTTATGCACTAATGCATTTACATGCAAACCTAGAAATGCGAATTATTTCCTGGATGAATGAAGGTTAAGTCATTTTCCTCTTATAAAATGACTTTAAATTGGTG